TATTGTAAAGAACAAAAGGTCAGAAAGTGAACGAGATATAGTGTATATAGGTAGGAAATGGTGGTTATTCTGAGGTTGTTGCTTTTTGTCCTGAGACAAAATAGGAAGCCATTGGGAGAGGACAGTAAAGAGAGCTTCTTTAGGTTTACATAGCAATCTTCCTTGAGTGAGAACTGACTGGAGGGGTCAAAGATCGAGGCTAGGAGAGAAGTGAGCTGATAATTTCAGTTTTTCACTTGAGAGATGCTGGGGATTCACAACCAGTGCCACATCAGGGAAGATGAGAAGTCATCTGAACTAGTATATATTGTGAAGGCAGAGCTGTCAACACTTGCTTTCATCTCCAATATAGGCTATGAAAGAAGAGAAAGACCTTCATTTTTAGAGGCCTGAACATGGATAAAGATGGTATTATCTCTGACAGTGAAGATTATGGGTGGTATAGGCAGACAAAAAGATCAGTAAGGAGATTAAAAAGTCAGCATTGGATACACAAAGCTTGTATTATTGACTAGAAACATATGTGGAGCTGTGCAGTAGGCAATTGGAACAAAAGTCTGAAATTCAGAAGAAGGGACTCTATTCAACCTATAAGTGTGTATGTTGCAAGTATGAAATTATAAGGTTTGCTCTGTGCTCAGCAGTGGAATTTTAAAAGAAGCCAAAAAAATTCATGTTTCAGCTGTGAACCTCCCCAAATTAAAACTAACTAATGGTGGGGATCCTTTTGTTCTTCCCAATGACACTCAAGAAAGTGTGTATTATGCTGCAAGCCTGCATGGTAGCAAGGTTGAAACAGAATTCTGGCTTCAGTTTTCAAAAGTTTCGGCTTCTAGCTTATCCAATTTCTAAAAATCCTTTTCTGTGTTTAAAACAGCCTTTGGTATATTTCCTTCACTGTACATCAGCCATTAAAGAAAATTCTTTTCTTTTGAACTTCTTATGAACAGCTGAATATACCACAAATCAAACATACTATTAAAACCATAACCTCTTAAGCTAAACTATGCTGATCTTATGCTGAAGGTAATGGACCAATGTGCATGAAACTCCCCACAGCTACATTTAGCAATGATCATTCTTCTTTGGAAGAATTTTATTCATTTGGAAAAAAAATCATAAGTCTTCATGTAATTATAAAAAAATAGCCTTTTCTCCATCACTTCTAATTCCCCTCTGCCTTTCTTTCAACCCTTGTAGTCATCTGTCTTAAATTCTTGCATACTCTGCATTTATAGAGATGCCAAACAGTTGGTGATCTGTCTGTCATGTTTTCCCAGTACATGCTATGACGTATTACTGTGCTAGATTATCTGGGTTCTTGGACAATGCAAGAAAGCTGACAACATTTATGCTGAAATATTGCATTCTAAAGGAAGACATAGCTACCCAGACATTACTAAAATGTGTTTGGAGTGGTCTGCTTGAAATCTGAATTAAAAGCCCCATGTCCGAGATTGTGATGGACCTCATACTTTGCTCTATTTAGTACTACTCTGCCATTATTTCCCTAGGTTCATGTTTAAATAGTTCAGTTCATGCCATGTAGAGAGAAGAAAGAAAAAATAAAACAAGAGTTAAAACAAACTGGTTAAAGAATATGCAAATTGCCCACATAAAATCACTCTTTTAAAATAAGCAAATTGGGATTATGAATCTTTTATTTCAAATGCCTACTTTACACATGAGCTTTTCCTATTAGAATGTGCATCAAACCCAGCTTCAAGTCAAGTCTCATTCGTTTCTTTTCCTCGACTTAGGAACATTATGTTTTTCCTTACCCAAGTACTTTTTTCTCTTCTAGAAATACATCATTGGTTCTTTCAGTGACCAGAGACAAATAAATTTTTAGCCCATATTTTCAGCTGTAAATTGAATTGCTTAGCACGGCAATACAGGTTTGTGTGGGGCTTGTTAGAGGTATGTTTAGCTTCTTCCCTGCCTCTCTCCCTATGTGCTCAACTATATTCAATAATCTTGAGTTTTAAAGATCTTCATGTGCATAGTCTAAGAAAAGTATTTGTCTTCATTACTTTTTGCACTGGTAGGATGCTGTCTTACAAAAGTTCAAAGTTATATTCATGAAAAGGAACAAAATCACAGCTCATGCTAGCTTGTGTGAAAGGAGGACAACCTTAGAAATAACTTGGCTTATCTCACAGAATCCAGCACAGACCTGAGCAACCAGCCTTTGGAAGAGTTAGGAGTGCAATGAGGTCTTGAGGACAGCAGGAAACAAACCTGCAGCCAGCATCGGGACTCTCTTTTCCTGTCACTTCTGCCCCATGTGGAAAGCCAGAAGTTTGTTTCTGTCCTTTTTATTTCACCATAAACAAAAGTCCTCCCCATGCTTCACAATATGATGGTAGCACTTTGTGACATTTTTTTTAAAAAATGTTTTTTATTATAAAAATAGTGTACAAATAGGGTTACAGTTACATGAGTCAGGTAATGAGTCCATTTCCTATCCAGCATCATTACCTCCTCCTTTGTTTTTCCCCTACTATCCCTTCCTTCCCCATCTCCCCAACTCCTCCCTTCCTCTCCCCACAAGTTGCAAAGTCTGTTTTCAACATAGTGTATGATATTCTTTTTTGTATATGTTTGTTACAATGTCAGCCACCAAAATGAGGCTAACTTAAAAGAAATATGTATGTGTACATGCATGCATGCACAATGAGCATCTAACTTACATAGCTTTCTGTTCTGGAACTCAGGGCCTTACATTCTTTCGGTTTGCTTGCTCACAGGTGGTACTCTACTATATGAGCCAAGCTCCCAGCCTGACATTTTTTCTGGCATTTTTTTTTATTGTGCTGGTTAACTAGAGCTGGGATATTTCAGACTTTTCTGCCCAGCCTGGCTTCAAAGTTTGGTCCTCTGTTCTCAGCTTTCTGAATAGATAGGCTTGCAGGAGTCAGCCAACAGTACTCAGGTAACTCTCTATTCTGAAATGTACATTTTGCTGGAACCCAAGAACACTAACGCTGTCACTGACTAACTGCTCATCATTTGTGTGACAGAGTGAGAGAAAGAGAGATGTGTGGAGTAAATGGGAATGCAGACAGGATGGACAAGTGTTTGGCCATCTTAGAAAAGGAAATAGGAGAAAATAGGCAGTACAAGGTATTTAGAAGTAAGCCCATGTCAGTCAAGATGCAAAAGAAATGTCGGTGTTTTCCTGTCAGACTTATCCAAAGAGACAGAGCAGCTGTGGAACTGGGTTTCCACTACTTACAAACATATTTCTTGGCTTGTTTAGTTTCTTTCAGTGAACCATTTTCATAATAAATACCCCAGCTCTTTTTTTTCCTTTTCCTTGCACTTTAAGCCATGGTTGGGTACCATGAACTTATAAACAAGCTTTTTTCCAAACATAAGCTCTGTCAGCACAATTGTATGTTGCTGTGCTGAGCAGAAAATTTCTAATAATACTTGTGAACATATGCAGAAATATTACTTTTCTGGGCTATGAACCAATCATTGCTGGAGGGCTTCCTACCTATCCAGGACATTTAAAGTAAATCATCTTAGTTTTTGCTGGCCTCAGATTCTTCATGGTTCCACAATGAACCCATTTATTGTGATATACCACTCTGGTAACTTCATTACTTGCACCTTTCCTTTTATAAATTAGGGAAAGTATTTTCTCTTTACTCCTTCAGATTCATTGTAAAGATTTCTTTTCAGCAATTCTAGTATTTATCATTACTTTTAACTATTTATTTTACATGCATTTATTGAAGACTTGCCAGTAGTTTTGAATGGTGACTATAATAGGTACAGACTATCTTACTGTCTATACTATCTTACTATCTATACTGTTTCAGCTTGGATTTGAGTCAGATGTAGGTATGACTAATGTCCATGATTTATTGCTATTGTTTATATTGTTATTATCTTTAACTAGTTGTACAGAGGAATTGCCAATCAACAAAACAGTTTATGAGCACATCTTGATCAATTTCACCCCTTTCCATTCCTCTCAAACCAACCACTTCCCTCAATATTGCTAATTTTGCAGGATATGCAAAATTTTATGACTGCATTCTAAATCCCACAATTTCTACCTAAAAGAAAAGCCTTCACTTAAACCTGAATAATTTTCATGTATATTTATTCCACCATTTTTGGAATTTGCTTTATTTCTCAAATTATCACTTAACCTAGTCTCCACCTGCTCTGATCTTTTTCCTTCACATTATCCATACTCATTCTGTGCACAGCATGTTTCCTTCACAGCAGTCTAATACTCGACACATGCCTCACTACCCCACCATGAATAACATTGTTGTGAATATCAGTAACTTGCATACAACGTTTGCATATTTTAAACAACATTCTAAGATCAAACCATGTAGGTGTCACTGTTAGTTCAAATTGTATGAGATTTGCAGAATTTTTTACTGTGTGTGTTGGAAATATTTTTCAGAATACTTTGGTTTTGGCCAGTTTAAATAAATGTTTTAAGAATGATATTGTTACTTAAAAAATGAAAATTTTTTTTTGCATTTGAGAAGGCATCATCTTTTCAAATTTTATGTTGTTCATATGCAGGTTAACATAGTTTCCTGTCCATCACCCAATCAGAGACATACATACTAAGCATAATCTCAGATACCTGACCCTTTCCCTCTCATTTAAAAATGTAAACATATTTAACAAAATTATAAACTTGTAATACATATTTATCTTTTCTATGCTAAATGAAGCACTTTGTAGACTATAACCTCTTCCTTTTAACTATACATGAAACAAGTATTTGTCCCAATGTTAGAATTTTCAAATCACATGCTTATCTCAGTTCTGCATCTCCTATTACTGAGTAGTGTTTATGTTGAGAGAGTTTCATTTGCTTCGTGTCATTTAATTCTGCTTAGATATAATATTGCAGCAGATTAATTTCCAGTATCAATTCATGTAGCTGGAAAGGAGGGTGTTTTTTCTTGATTTTAACTGGTTTGGTTTCTTTATTTTGTTTTTGCATTATGTCCTGTTAGGTGTTTGCCAAACTACTGTGAACACGGAGGACGCTGCTCCCAGTCCTGGACCACCTTCTACTGCAACTGTTCTGACACTGGTTACACTGGTGGCACTTGCCATGACTGTGAGTAGATATGTGGTTTGTCTGCAGGGGATACCAATGTTAATATCAAGATACATTTTATTCATTCAACTGGTATTATTTGAGAGAATTTTGTAGTGGATAGAATAATACCACGATACCAAACATATCCTTGTGGCATTTGTAGACTACCCACAAGATAGATAGGAAATGAAATTGAAAAAGAGGAAAGAACAGGTGTTATGGGCACACACTGGTCCCAGTAACAACTAGTCATGTCACATGCCCATCACATGGTGAAAGAGAGACTTGCACATTGTCTTCTTTATGGTAGTAGAAATTCCATCATCTCAATATTGTCAGTGCAGGTAGCTTGTAGAAGCACAAGGAAGAATGTCCAAGCTTCTACCTGAGAGTTCTAAGCATTATTTGTACTCGCATCTCATTGGCCAGATTCAAGCCCCAGTGATATACTGAACAGAAGATGAAGTGCTTTATTACCAAGGGATGTGACAAAACAGAACCTGAGCGTTAGTGATGAGGACTGATTATTACCTGTCAACCCTCAGCATCATGGAACCTTCATGTGGAAGGCTTGGCCTGATAATGCAGTAGAACTGTGATGGAGTAGAAACACAGAAAGGAGAGAACTTGGGGAAAAGGGACAAATAGAGACATATAAAGCATACAGACTTCTGTCGAATGCCTGAATGCCAAGTAGCTCCACATGAGGAGATACTCATAATAAAGGTGATAATGGGAAAAGAGCAGAGGATGAATAAGCTGCAGTATACAAAATATGGAGGGACAAATAAAACAATAGCAAGATAACATAAACGCTAATTCCTATAACATTCTCTTTGGGATCACCAAATAAAATATACAATAAAGCAGAGAGCAGTTGTTATCAACTTGAGAGGTGAAGTTTAAGAATGATTCTGTAGGATGTATCTGGCTACAAGGGTAAGATAGGTCATGGAAAATGTGAAATTTGAACTTGGCTTGGGAGAATGAGGAATGGGAAAATCTCTACTAGGAAGGCAGAGAACCATGCAAGTGAAGGCCTGTTGCTGTTTTGAAGACAGCAGTAAGGCTATCACCAGTTTTTCTTATTTTCTGCTACTGTCAGTGTACAGAAGGGATTGGGCTGGACTGAAGTCTGACTTTGGGCTAACCTCAATCAGGAAAAGCAAGAGGATGGGACACCCTGGACAAAGAACTGAGAAAGGAAAGAGAGGATAAGAAAGGGGCCCCAGGGGATCCAGAGCTCACTGGCTTCTGAACCCCAGAACTCCTATTAACAAGCTTATTTACTTAATTCAGTAAAGGGGAAGTGACTACAGGTACATGCAGAGACTAGAGTAGAAATCTATCTTTGCAGTTACAAACAACATGAGACATAATTTGCATACAAGTGATACTGACTTCCTTATCTTAGAAAGTGGAGGAAAGCAATAAACACAGACTTGCATCTTATTGCTAAGGTCTTGTTTGGGTGCCCAAACAGCTCACACTTAGGGTAGAAAACATGAATCTCTGACTTGCCTTGATTTTGTTTGATCTTTCCAGAGCCCAGCCCTCTTAGCCTTCTGAGTGCTGTTGAGATATCTTTCCAATCTCTTCACCCTTACTAGGCCCCAGAGTTTTCCTTCCAAGTTCCCAATACTGACTCTGATGTAGCATGAGAAATACTGATGTTCTCAGTCTGAGAACCTCTCCAGTACTCCACGTCTCTGCTCCGCCTCTTAGTGTGGTGTTTATCAATGATGCCCATGGGAAACTCTGATCAAATCAGAAATAGTTCACTGTTTACCTGGGACAGGGATGAAACACTGTGAGTTGCCTGAAGAAAGGAAAAAACAACAACATTGTTTGACTGTCTCATAAAATATGTTATTTAAAATTTTCAATTTAAAACTATGGAAAAGTGAAGAGAATACTGGGATCTGTGAAAGAATGGATTTCAAATGTATATGGTTATTAGACTTAGTAAGTGCATAATTTTACCTATCAAAGGTGGTATTAAAAGATTCTAGGAGGAAAATTTGTTGAATTCTTGTTGGCACATCTAAATAAAATACACAAGAAATGTCAATCTAAATATTTTAAATCTATTTCCAAGGATGTTATATCTGAGAATCCAAGATTAAATTGTATATGTACAAAACAGAATACACACAAGACTACCCAGATTGTGTGAGTGCTATTATAAGATGCTCAGGAGAAACAAAGATGATGGTGTATCTAATAGAAAGTACCTTGAAGATTTAAGTCAACAAAACCCACCTATAAGCCAAATCACATTACAACATTCCTATAACCTTTAACGATTTTTCTGTTCACTGTCTCCAAAAGTAATTTAACAATTTTTTGAGGAGTTCATCTTCACAGATGCTGTTCTCCTTTAATTTACTCCATCCATCAGGCTAAAAATAGGATATTTTTAGGTTTAAAAAAGTGTGAACTTGAAAATCTGTGGAAGAAGAGCTGATTTTTAAAGGAACACTGTCAAAGCTGATAAGGAGACTCAACATACAGAACCTGAATTTTAAAAAAAATTAAAAAAACCTTTCACCTTTTCCTTTTTTTTTTTTTTTGTAAAATTATTGAGTTCCAAAGCTATAGGCTGTAACTCTGTGGTTCTACCTTCCATTGTAGCCACCAAGCTAAAGCCAATCAGATGTGTTTGTTTGTCTGTAATTTTGGCAAGTTCACATTGAATATTTGAACTTATTCAGTTCAAGAATCTGTCCCCTCTCTAATGACTCTCTTGACCAATTTGAGTGAAGACCATTTCTTTGCAGTCACTTTGTAAAGTGAGTAGTTTATGTATCCTTCAGGCCTTCAATAAGTGTGCTCCCATGAAATGAGTTATCAAAAGCCAGAGCTACCCCCCAATAGTGAAGATGGCACATTCTAGGGCTGGTTGGTTGAATTGTACTCTGGTCACATCCTGACAGAAATTTGATTTCAGAGTCTGTTAGATTAAAGGCAGAGGTGTGTTATCAGATTGCTGGGGTTCTTCTCACAGCACAGCTGGGGATGGAGATGTTGAGACCATGCTTATCTGATCCTGCTTGCCTGGTTATAAGGTGCAGTTCAGTTCTGCACATTTCAAGAAGAAAACTTCTGTTATTTATTTATTATTATTTTTTTTAGTAGGTTTTGAGGCTTGAACTCTGGGCCTGGACTCTGTCCCACAGCTCTCAGCTCAAGTTGAGCACTTTACCACTTAAGCCACAGCGCCACTTCCTGTTTTCTGGTGGTTAATTAGAGATAAAAGTCTCTTTTCTGCACAGGTTATCTTTGAACCCTCATCCTCAGATCTCAGCCTCCTGAGTAGCTAGGATTATAGGCGTGAGCCACTGGCCTTTGGCAAGAAGAAAACTCTATTTTCTTGCACTCTTCTTGCCATGAATTAGTTTTCCTACATATAGTTCCTAATATGTTAGACATTGGAAAACCTGTGTAATAATTGTCAAACTTACAGTAATGATAGAAAACATTTTCAATGCTAGACTTCTCCTTTTTTTTTTTTTTTTTAGTCCTGGAGCTTGAACTCTGGGCCTAGGTGCTGTCCTTCAGCTCTTTAGCTCAAGGCTAGCACTCTACCACTTGAGCCACAGTGTTATTAACTGTTTTCTGGTGGTTTATTGGAGACGAGAGTTTCACAGACTTTTCTGGCCTGGATGGTTTTGGATCTCAGTCCTTCTTATTCACCACATTTGGTAAGCATTAGATTTTTTTTTTTTCAGGCAGGAAAAGAAGTTTACCAAACTGTTGCCCCACCTTGCATAGTGGAGAGGCATGGCCAGAAAAGGGGAGAGCCACCTTGGGGTCAAGACTTATCTAGGCCAGGGACAGCAAGAGGTATGGCTAGGTGGGGGAAAGGTATGGCCACAATGGATCCAGATGTGACCTCAGGGTCTGTGACCCTCCTAAGGTCAGATGGGAGGCATGTGAACAGAGGTGGTCCAGGATGTGACCTAGCAGGAAGAGCAGGTGACTGCTTCCAGGTCGGCCAGTTACCTAGGTAACAGATGCTGGGTGGAAACTTAGCCTAGAGGTAGGGAGGTGTCTGCACAGGGCCTGCAGGGCCCAGGGCAGATGTTAAATTCCAGCCTTCTGATAATTATGTAAAAGGGCAAAGTTTCTCTTTGGCTACTTCCTGCTGGTAAGGAGAGTCCACATTAGGAGTAAAAGGCTGAGATGTGGTCTCCTCTGGGAGAAGGCTCAGCTGGCCTTTGGTGGTAGTCCTTGAATTAACTCTGGAAGAAGTCTCACAAGGCAGGGATGCTGGGCAAAAAAAAAAAAAAAAAAAATTACTAGAGAGCAAACAAATGGTAAGAGGAAGGGTTTGGAGCATAAAATTAAAATTTGGATGATTTGGCTAGAATGGCTAGCTCTTATCTCCTGCATTCCAAGCTGTCCTGGAATTGGTAAAAATGTCCTTAGCTACTTCTGACATATAGCAAGTAGGTAGGGGATAGTGCCAGGTAACAAATGCAAGAATGTAAATTCCTGTCCAGTTAAAAGGTAGACAAGGATGGACATGAGCTGGGCAGGCTTCTTATTTCTATTGACCTCCTGGCTCTGGTTAATTTTGAAAGGGCAGGCACAAAATGGAAGATGTGACATCATTTCCTCTTACTCCTCTCCATGATCCCTTGTTCCCGAGACTGGCTGAGTCCCAGGGGTCTAGGTGCTCATTGCTGGGATAGCTCATCCCACCTGGTACACAGAGGTTTGAACTCAAGTCTTGAGCACTGTCCCTGAGCATTTCTGTGCTCTATCATTTTGAGTTACAGTACCACTTCCAGTGTTTGCTGGTTAATTAAAGAGTCTCCTGAGTCATGCTTCCAGCTTGTCTCTGCAGGTTAGTTGGGAGATGGAGTCTCAGGGATTTTTCTGCCTGGGCTGACTTTGAACTGCAATCTTCACCACAAAAACCCTTTATTATTTCCAATTAAAGCAACAAGGAGATGTTTTTTTATTGTTGATTTGATTTTGAGACAGAGTTCCAAAGAGTAGACTAGCCTGAA